ACTGGAACAAGCAAAACGTTTAATCTTTAAAGCTGAAGAAGCAGTTTTTCCTTTTTCACCAACAGACCGAGCGCTTGAAACATCCATCCGGTATGCTAAGTTCCACTCCATTTGCAGTACTGGGTTCACTTCATGCCGAAGGGAGGGCTGTATGAGAAAACACAGTTCACTGAGTTTGTGTGTATTTTACTAGTTCAGATCTCAACATAAAACTTTTAGGCTGAAGATAAATTATAATAAATATAAACCCTAATGTAGGGAAAGCTGGGCCGAAGCCTGTACATCCGTTTGGTCAATATTTGAAGTAGTGCAGATGCAGACCTGCATTTTGCTCGCAATGTATGGGGTCAGTGTAAACGTTTCAATGAAATTTTACTTGTGCTCCATTTACAGCTGCTCACTAGTTCGAATCCTGGTCCGGGGACTGGCAAGAAAACTTCCATCTTTGTAAATACTGGCACAATTGATTTTTCTCCTAACCATTTCATTTTTGCCGTTCAGTCCTTCACCGCGAAACCTGATTCTTGGGGAAATTAAGAGGAGATGGAATTCGTCAATGCTTGCTACCATTCAGTCCAGAACCTTTTGTCTTCCCGTCTGCTGTCCCAAAACATAAAAATTAGAATTTACGAAACTATAATTTTGCATGTGGTTCTGTATGGGAGTGAAACTTGGTCTCTGACATTAGGGGAGGAACATAGACGGAAGGGGTTCGTTTTTAGATGTTACTGAATTTTTCATTTGACTTAATCCTTCAAGCCGCACTATGACCCTGGGGTCGACTCAGCCTCTAACAGAAATGAGTACCCGGTATCTTCCTGGATATAAAGGACGGCCGACCACGCGGGTTTCTCTCAAACAACTTTCTTTGTCCCTTTGTCCCTCGGCAGGGACCACGCAGAAAGCAAAGACTCTCTATTGTTGAGAAGACTTATTTACTAATACATTGCCTAACAATGGACGTCCTATTGTGCGCGTACGCTTCCGCATGTGTTTACTGAGTCGTTGGCTAGCAGTACTGCTCTCTGCATTCCAAGCCATTCACCTGCTCTGAAGATGGAGGCGATACGTTCCTCCGAAACGTCGGCCAAAACGAAGAATACACGGCGTCAAAACCCAGAAGACGACTTTCTTCATAGTCATCGCCGTGAAAACCTCAAAACTTACGTGAGTCCTTGTTTGTAGTTTCTGATAATGTCTGCTTATTGACGTCTACAAGGACTGCTTTTTATTAAGCATCCGTTCTAACACTTGTCTGGGTTCGCGATGGTATAGCGTTATTTAGCCAACTCCTTGTCTCTTCTCCACACAGACATGCACTCCCTCATTTATCTCTCTCGCAGTTGCCGCCCTCTCGTCTTCATATCACACCGCCTCAATTTACGTCAGCAGCAATGCTTCATCCTTTGGACTCTTCTTTACTTCATTCAATATCCACGGATCCGATTAAATGCTATACAGCATATCGCGGCGGAAGATATCCCACAGAGTAGCACTAGTGGAATCATCTGGCAGATACGTAACTGGAGAGTCATAGCAATTATATGCGCATGCGCTGCTGCTCATACTACAAACGCACGTAGGATGCAATAAGACAACCACATACATAGAGAGAGCGACAAGTTGCCGGGAGTTGCATGTTATTATAATCCTACAGGGCGAAAATTAAGAAGCCGCTATAAAGGCAAACTAGAGGAAGGTGCAGACAGTAATCCGAATAACCCACCAAGGCTAGAAGGTTAGTTACTTATTGGAGAGGGTGGGTTTCCCCATGCACTTAGACCTGTATTAGTCCATTGTGCTTTCCCTCTATGATTTCTACCAGTCTCTATATCCTACCGGTACTGGTGCTTACCATCAGTCCAGCCCAGCCAGCGAGACCGGCTCTACTAGCTTCCCCCCTCTACCAGAGGTATTAGAGACTGCTGTGGGGCGGGAAACGTCCGTAATTTGGCTCAGTGACCTCCTTTGGAGATATGAGGTTCTTTTACGTGCCGTAAAGCTACGACACGGGACCCACGGCTTAAAGTCCCTCCCGGAGGACTTGTACCCTGAATTTTCAGCCCTTAAAAATTCGACGACCTCCGCCGGATATTTGAACCCGCGTACTACGAGTCATGAGGTGGGAACGTTACCTCTAGACTACGGAGGCCGCTTAGGCTAAAAGGTTACTAAGAACGATCTCTCTCAGTGCTGGGTGCTGAAATTGAATATTTTTGTTGTTAAACTTTCAGGTTCTGCTATATTAATATTAATTTCTATCAGAAGTGCACTTAGATTTTCATCTGAATATTTCATAAATTTTCACGTTCTCCGACAGTTAAAACAACAGCAAATTTCTGAGGATCGGTCCACTATCGGTTTCAGTTGTATCGTAAATCAATAGTATTAATTAATTCCGTGGAGCACAATATATCTTGAAAACATAGTATTATGTCACGTAGTCGAGCTTCCATCCTCTTAAGGACCCGAAATTATGTTGCTCTGTTCAGTTGACCCTATATTATTTTACCAAACCCAAAATAAAAATAATGATCTGAGGACATGTGAAATAACCTCTGGGTACAAACATTACAAGATATATTCGTGATTTCAAGATCTTTGATTTGTAACAGGTCTCCGCCTCTCTATTTTTGATGAACACAGCGATGCATAAAAATATGTGCCGTTTACTTCACTACTTGACCAGTTACACTATTAAAAGCTCTAAATGGAAGAGAGGGGAGAAGAAGGTTGTAATGTTGAATACAAACAAGTCAGGTGCAATAGTGAAACGAAAAAAAATATTCTTCCAGCTGTTTCCAAAATATGAATATGAACAGGATATCGTTTACTTAAATTTGTTGCCTGGCAGATGTTACTCTGCGGACCCCTGGTTATGGAAGTCTGGTCTGACTTCGCTCCTCCATTAGCTGTTGCACATTGGAGGCGGAAAGTAAGAAAGACTGGTAAGAGGGTAGAAATGGAAATTGTAGTAGGACTAATTCAGTGCTCGGAAAAACTAACAGCGAATGAAAGCAGAGCACGAATATTATAAGAAGGAAAAGAACTGGCGTATGAATTATGCTGTTCTGAAAGTGGACCACCGGCAAAACATATTTCTACCAGGAAGACGATAAAGTATGCAGCTAATTAATAAACATTAAAATTAAATAATTATACCGCTACACGCTGGTTAAGAAACACACAATGGACCAATCGGTAGTTCGCGTGCGTCTGCAGAACTTCAGAGATCTGTGGACGAATAAATAAAGTCATATATGTAACCATACCACTGCCATGCAACCATTTAAATGAAATTAAGTTTATTAGTTAGAAATTTTAATTGTTCCACAGTGGGATGAAATGAACAAGTGCAGTGAGACATAGGTCTATTCTTGCATGTAAGAGTTAGCGTCTTCTCACGCGTGCAGTAGAGAAGGAAGAAACCCCGTCGCCAGTTAGAAATTTTACTTGAAAGTGTAACCGCGGAGTATTTTGTGAAATAGATACTTGACAGCTTGTGCATGCCATAACTTAAAAGAAGGAAGTTTTAAGAGCCCAAGCCAAGCTTAACATTTGTCAAGATTCTGACAGAAAAATACGTTGGAGCTCAGAAATCTAAACTCCTTGTAATCCTTAAACAGAGTGGTGAAATAGCTAATTAAAATACTCCTATTTTTCAAATGTAACCAATCAAAAATTTAAGGGTGTGACAGAGCCGAGACGCTAATGGAACAAGAATTTGATAGTTCGAATTGAAGTCAGTTGTGGAAGTTAGTTGCACACCGGATCTCGTAGAAACAAGACGTAAAAGTTACACACCGGCCCTTGAAGGAATCAGACGTAAAACTTGTGTCAGTCACTCACCGCTTTCTTTGTATACAGAATTAAACTTGTGATATTCAGTTGAAAATACTAACTAGTAAGAAGTCTATACGCATGAAGTGTTGTGAATTAAAAGAAAATATATACAAAATTAGGCAAGTTGAGAGAAATATTAAATTGTGTAACAAAGGGCATAAATGTTTAACAATAAACCATCGAAACTTGATGTGTGTGTGTGCCGGCAAATAAGCTAAAGTTACTGATTCTTGAAGTTGTATTAAGAAGTGGCTCAACAAGTCTTCAACAATAATAAATCAACTAAACTTGATACGTGCTTGTGTAGCTTTGTGTTCATTCCTGCTTCTCTGAGTTGTGGCCCGTTCAAGGCTCTGAGATAAAGAGACCTTCAGCTCTACCGAATCAACAAACCTCGCCTCCTTATAAATTACATAACCCTGAAATATAAATTAATTAACCCTGTGATTATTATTAGTACAAGGAAGAAGAACCCACAAATGTGACCAGCGTGCGTAGGCGAAAGGTAAAACTGAGTCCTTATAAAGGCAATGTGAGAGTTGCATTATAAAAAAGTGGCGCAAAATGTAGGGTCATATATAGGACAGGATTCGAACACAGAAATTTTTTTTATATGACGGTATTAACGGTGGGCTGAGCGAGTCGAATATTATCATTTCAATTTATTAATGTTTATTGAAACTGGAGAGGAAAAAATCGAAATCTATAAAAATATTTACCAAAGTACTGTCACTTGTCAGAATGACCAAAGACGGGGTTTTTATTGGTAATTGGATTTATTAACCACCTATAGGTCGTAACTACAAATAATTATCACACTATCGTCGATTTACACAATTTACAATCATTCCACACTAATCTTCTCAGTCTGTTTCCACTAGTCTTCACTATCAGTTTCCTGGCAACTGATTTATAACAGAGGAGCTATAGAAGTCTATCTAAATCACACACAAAAATGCAATTAGAACAAAAGAATCAAAATATTTACATACACATACAGGATTATTTCTATAATTATTCTCCCCCCGTTAAAATTATTTCATTTCTTTCTCTGTTGATATTTAGTTCCTTGTTGAACTGAAGCTCCTGCACCAGATATATCTCGAAGTGGCATTTGCATAGAGAATTTTGAAATGGGACGAGCCGTTCTCATACTTTCAAATACAGTGTCTAGTGCATTTCCAACGGAATATCAGCTCTCCAATGAAAGTTATTGCAGAGAGTGCGTAACCGAGAAACAAGAAGTAGAATGGAGACTGCAAGTGTTCCAGCGTTAATTTGTTGTATTCTCCTGTTGACAGTCTGAAATCTCTGGCAGAAGTCAGAGTTGCAGTGTACTTTATATTCTTCAGCCACTGTTCCAACAGCCCTGCTTCTATAGTATGTTGAATAATGCGATTAAATTCGTCCAGCATTGGCAAGCCTTTCGGGACCGGCATGGATATAATTTGATTGGCAATGATCTCGTCGAATAGGCAGATCAGAGGTTTGCCATTCCCATCCGTGTACCTTTTGGCTGCAACATATGCCATGTTCAGAGCGGAGAACACAAACGCAAGGTCGCCTTTGAAGGCTGTTCGATTCTGGCATTCTTCAAATGTTGTGCAGTCAATTCTGCGAGGGTATCTCTTGGAGGTAAGATGTGGCAAGTGAGCTAGAATAGATTTATGGACACCGTACTCTATCCCTGAGTGAAGAAGCTCTTCCTCCGAGGATATTTGACTTTGAAGGCCTGAGTCAACCAAGTAGCTGGTCAGGAAGGTCTGATAGACTGTGTTGACAGCCAAGCAGTATACAGCCCACGTTAAAAAAACAAATCGTGTAGAAATATCTTGCGGAGGAAAGTTAGGATTGGAACATGCAAGGATAACAGCCCAAAAATTAAGCAGACATTTGGCAACGTCTGTATAGGCTTCGTTGTTTGTATACGGAGATGGAAATGTATTTCGTATCATAACTACGAGCCACATTAACAAAGCAACAATGATATAGGCTACCAATAATCCCAACCAGAGATATGCTTTGAAAACTCTAGTGATGCTGGTCCAACGAGGGTATGGGTTGGCACACGGAACGAACCACCTTGCTGAATCCATTAAATGAGGTACCAAACACTCTATATCATTAATGATGTGACATTTGTACCAAAAATTATCCAAGGCGATATCTGAATACCCTGTGGCGACCTCACCTGACAGCCCCGTCCATGAGCCGTTCCCCAATTCCTCTCCCCAGAAACCATTGTCAGGTGGAGGTGGTCTGTATAAAATGGACATATTAGTTCTCCTTGCCATCTGCTCCAGAAGTCTCACTTCAGTTCCCTGTTCATACTCAATTTTTCCATCATCATTCAGCTTCTTCTCCATCATCACAGGCGGGAACTGAAAACCGGATACTCGTAAGGGGCATCCATGGAAATCTTTGGGAATTTTTTGTGGGTACAGCGAGACGTTATACAAGAAGTAGCCGATGCTCCTATTGTTAATTACCCAGCGGTCAAGTAAAACAGCGTTTATTATTTCACCGCACCTGCTGGGAGTCTGGTACGGGAACCAAGTGTACACATCTAACACAGGAAGAAGCTCTCCGACGTTATCAGCCTCCTCAAGTCTAACATCGGCAGCATGTGTTAAGATAACAACATTTGCAACCTTAAATTTCCAGAGCTCGGATAAAATATGTTCTGCCAGTGTTTTCTGGTCACTGTCTGTTTGCATCAACAAGACTACAAATCGTGCCCGTGGATTCCAGTCTCTGCCTGCCTTCAGTCTAGCGATTTGCTGTCTTATATCTTCCACCACTTCTTCTATTTGTACACATTCTGCTACTAAGATATAGCTTCCAGGTTTGCTTTCTGTCAGTTTGTTCTCCATTATGTACTTCACGTTATTTCTATCGTTTGCACGAACAAGAAACAGTGACAATTTTCCAGACATGTACAGATCTGCCAAAACTAAGTCCCAACTTTCTTTATCCAAATATATTGAATTTTCTACATCTTTCCTCAGCGTCCTAAGGGATTCTCTCGATGTGGGAAGACTCACGCACGCTTCAGCGTTGTCTGAAACGACCAAGTTGCTTCCTGACTGAAAATGTCGTTCTGCGATGTCGTGCAGACAGCGAAGCGAATGTCGGTTTACTTCATCGGACACACATACCAGACAACATAGGATCACTGCACTTAGCACATTCATCGTTTCAACGGACATAAAATGTTCTTAATTTACTTGTGATTCTGAATTCTATAGTGGACCACTCTATACTAACGTTCAACAAAGTTGCAGTAATTGGTATAAATTATTTAATTTACATACACATTCTTAATTTGCATTCTCGCCTCCAAATTAGACCACTGACGACGCGGTTCTTCCTCGTAGCGTTTTGATGTAACTGAATCCGTTGTAGGATAAAGGTCTGTAGTCTAAATGCGATGCCAGTGTTCTTGCGTCATCTGCTGGTGCGTAAAATGCCACTTACAAAGTCCGTTTATGCAGAATATGAATGTGTGATTAAAAGTTCGCCTGCCGCATAAGTAAACACATCACAAGTATGAAGTCTGAGTTTTGTTTTATTGATGATGAGAAAAGCGACGTCGAAGAGAGGCTTTGATCTTAGCTGGACTAAGTGATACTTTTTTTGGCCGCGCCATCGCTCAAGCGGTTAGTCGCAGGCTTCCTACCGCTGCGGCCCGGGTTCGATCCCGGGTCTGGTCAAGTGGGATATGTGGTGAACAAAGTGGCGCTGGGGCAGGTTTTCTCCGAGTACTTCGGTTTCCCCTGGCAATCTTCATTCCACCAATTGCTCCACAATCACCCTCACCTATCATCTGGGACTGGTACAATAGGCCACAATTGGCCACCGTACGTGACTTAGTCCCACCCTACTAGCAATAAAGAAAAGTGATACTTTTGGTGATTTAATTATTACATGGTGTTAAAAGAATTTTCAGGAACTNCGCAGTACAAGGGACTTAGTCCCACCCCACTAGCAATAAGGAAAAGTGATACTTTTGATGATTTAATTATTAAATGGCGTTAAAAGAATTTACAGGAACGTATTAAACTCATTATTATTTGGCGTCGAAATAGCTCAGCCAATAAAGTAAATACACCGCCGTCTTGAGGAGAACAGTAATTTGTTGCTAGCCTTCACCAACACAGCTATTCTTGGTTTCGGGTCCAGAATGACTGCGGGCGAAGACCACCAGGAAATTACTATTCCTATCATGACTGTTAAGGACGGAGCATACGGGGGTTCTATTGCTGCTGAGGGAAGGAATTTTGCCTTAGCCATAACGTCAAGCCTGACTCTGGGTTATATCCCGTTCTATATCCATGGGTATCAGAATTGTTTCCAAAGGGATAAAGCAGTCGTAGAATAGAACATGCTAGTAACTTGCGCATATCATCGAGATTAATAATGTGTGTATTTTAAACTATATATTTCCTACATGACTTCATGTCGTAGCAAGATGTAAATTTGCTGTTACCTTTTATGCTACACTTCTTTACGCATCTCCAGATACATGTACAGTTTTTTATTTAAATTCGCTTAGTGGGGGAGGAGTCCAACTGGGTCCACTCGGCACGGCGGCCACTGATTGGCCTATTGTAGCCTGCCCCGGGTGATTATGATGATGGAGAATTTGGTGGAATGAAGATTGGCAATGGAAACCGAAGTACTCGGAGGAAACCCGCCCCAGCGCCACTTTGTCCACCACAAATCCTACTTGACCAGATCCCGGATCGAACCCGGGCCGCCGCGGTGGGAAGCCAGCGACTAACCGCTTGAGCTATGGCGCAGCCATTACATGTACAGTTTGATTTCTTGCGAAAGTGCACCCTAGCGGTAGAGTTGGAAGCTACTTCCGTCAAATTGTGCCCCCGCATAACGCATAACTCACTTCAGGGAGCCACTGCCAAGAAAGCTAACTGCACGAGAAATTGCTGACGCATGAAGGAAGAGTCGAGCCGCTAGTTATAAATCAACAAGCGGCTGTTTTCTTCGTGTAGGCAATGTCTGAAATTTACGTCTTTGCTATTGTTTGTCATTACTAATGCCACGGGAGTAAATGAATATACGAAGAGATATTCAGCGAGGAAAATATATACGTATATTTACATCGAGTACAATCTATATTGTAATACTTAAGAATTACCGTTATAGAATATGATCCAAGGGAAAAAATTTTGGTTCCAAATATGTCAACGCTCCTACAACCAATATTATCAGCAGAAGCGCACCTACCAGAAGGAAAATTTTTGGTACAGAGACAAATATTGAATAAAGAAAAGTCTCTGACACACCGAGCAGCAACATGAACACCAATAATTTCGTAAAGAGAAGGAAAGAATTTAGAGCCAAGATAAATTTCAACAAAGAACAATTTCTCTTGCTCTGGAGCATAAGCGTAACCATAATTGACCAGGTGATAATTATGATGATATCTACTGTTACCATTATCATCATTATCGTCACGGTTTCTATGGATTTCCTCTGTGACCGGATTACTGCTATTATGCCTCATTATATTTTTAATGTTTAAATTGAGGAAGTTGCCGTGCATTTAGGCGGAAAGAAAAATTGCATACACAGTTTAAATTGACACTGGATGGTTTTTACATCGCAACAACATAACCACAGCCATCCGTTAAACCTGCTATGTACGGCTGCCTGTGTTGTAGAAGTCCTGTCCTGGCTTTCAATGTAAGTTATTACACGAACACCCGAAAGTGTTCAATCTCTTTGCTTTATGTTCTTTATGCAATATGAAATTGTTCTTAAAGGGAATTTATTAGTAGTCACGTACGTGTAATGTGACAGCCTTTTCAGAAGCCCTCAAAAGGTGGTGATAGATGTTTAGAATAGGTGAAGATGGTATCCGGATTTATTTACAGCTATAGAGGAACAAGAACAGGTGCAGGGAATACGAAAGTTGCCGCTTTAGGAATATATAGAGGCTCCCATGTCAGTGTTTGTGTCTTTTTAATTTAGTTTCCAAGATCTTAACGTAGCGATGTAGCTGGTATTGGATTAATGAATTTAAGAGTTTTAAACTTTGAATCTCGCTCAAAGAATAGCGTAGTTTGATTATGTTTATTATTATTTTTGTCGGACTACTTTAGTTTGCTAAGAGGAACTCCGGCAAAGTTCTCTAAAATTTATAGCAATTGACCCCTCCCCATTCCATCCCATCTCATGAGCCATGGTCGATCTCACTTTTTAAACAGCGCTTCATAATCTGTAATCGGTGAAAAAATTGTGAGATTTCAGTCATCTCTGTCTCTAGGATTGAATTGCACCCTGAATTCGGTGACAGCATGTTTTCCGAAACATTGGAACCTATCTATAAAATACTGCTCTATTTGACAACCTCTGAACACTCACTGCCGCTAAATCTCAAGTTCATANTATATATATATATATATATGAAATGCATTGTTTATAGAAAGGCTTTGCTTTCAGTTTTACGTGCCATATCTCATTCTTCGTCACAAATCAGTGATGACGAACTTAAGATATGATTCTATTCTTGTTTATTGCTCGCTTTTAGATTTGTGGATCGAATTCGTAATCCTCAGGTCACGATTCCTAACACAACACAAATTGATAAACTCTAAAGAAGAAAATGTTTAGAAGGTTATTCTAACTATGGCTATACAACTTTTTCGGAAAATATATTTCCATCCTTCCCGGTAGAGAGTAAATTTTATGTTAGAAAAAACTTATGTGACAAGGAAGCAGTGCTCAGGTTAAATTATTTTGCGTTAAGGACGTTTAGTAGTTTTTTTTCATTTCTTCAAGGGGAAATATCATGGTAATGAGATCAGAACTGTTTTCCATATATCTTTAAGTATTCTGTGTGCGCTGTGTAACAGTTTGCCAACTTGCTTATTTATGTAATAATGCAATATTTTGTGCGATACTACAGCTAGGAAATCGAAATGAATATTAGATGCACGCCAAAGTTAATCTTGTTAATCTCTTTTACAGATCTTTTAGAGTGTTATCACTTCTCCATGACTGTCTGTCCCTCCCTCTCCCCCCCTCTCTTTGCCCGTCTTTCTGCATGTATTAACTCGAGAACCGCTGAACAAATTTTGTGAAATTTAATACTGGAAAGTTCTTCTAAATTTTGTTGACACTTTTCTTTTTTGAGCAAAGTCGAAAAAAAATAATGACAGATGTTGTACATGAATATTTACATGCGTTTCTGAACTCATTTCGAGCGTAACTCGGTAAATATTTATTGGAGCGAAAAATGTTTTGAACAAACTTTGTAGAGGAAAATAGTACACGTTTTATGCTCAGTACACTGTTGCTGTAAATCTCTCTGATTTCGAGATAGTTAAAGAGAAGGGAAGGTTTGTGCTTCGTCATCTCGTAACTCGTTGGGCTGATTTTGATCCTATCGTAACGTAAAGACCCATTGCTAGGTAACGACTCGGTAAACATATTCCCGCGGGATCCAACGCGGGCAACAATAGAAAGTCTATTGCTAGGCAACGGATCAGTAAGCATTCCTAAAATAATACGGGACACCAGAAGAGGGTGTTTTCCGCGTTGTCAGTGCAAGTGGTTATAAAGAAGAGTTCTGAAGCTGGCAGTAGTCGAGTCGAGTTTCGAGACGCCAGCCCGTCGAAATATGAGCTTGGGAGCAGAGAAACTGAATTGAGTGAAGTCTTCGGAATTGGCAGTTGCAAAATAACGGCAAGAAAGGAATCAGGTGGTGCAGAGATGACTTCATGTATGATTTGAAGTGCCTGAGACTGTTGTAAGTCCGTTGTCGGGACACGGCTAGTGAAGACTATGAACCCTAGTGCGTGTGCAGCGGTGAAATATAATATGTGTAAATCAGCGATAGCGCTGTATTGCCTGCAGTCCCGAGTTGTGAATGTATAAGGTGTAATAAATCCAATTATCTAATCCAGAACCCATCTTATAAGGCACGCACAAACCCCTACACGTGACAATAATTTTTATCGGAGATTCTAACATTTCCGTTATGGTTGTTTCATGCTATTTATAAAAGAGGATTTTCACAAGTTTTCAAACTGAAAATTTGGAGTAAAAAAAAAAAAGGAAACCCGCAGGAAACGTCAGCGACTTGCTAATTAATTCTCTCTTTACGTTTTCGCTATAAATTTTATAATGATTCTGTATTTTAGCATCTCGTTGCAATTGTTCAACTTAA